CGAATCTGAATCAGATCAAATCATAATTATAGCCAGAATGAAGAAATTAATTTTCTGTTGCTTCCCCTCCCCCTCTCACCAACGACAACGCAACTCATTTTCCTTCTCGCTCGCACACTCTGCCGCGTTCAGTGCGCGAGCAACCCCTAGCGGAGGAGATGTAGAATCTGATTGGAACATGTACAATCTACATGTTAGATGTAGAATATACATTGTATATGTAGATGTAGATATCATATGTAGCAAAAAAATGTAAAATTAAAAATTTTTTTTTTCTATGATTCTTAAAAATCATAAGCTCAAAAATGTATATACTGACTGAGTACGGGTATAAGTAGAGTCGCGTCCCCAGAAGCGACTCACACGTTCCTTCTCGTTAACTTTAACTTAACACCTAATATCGGCCAGGTTAGCACACATTGTCTTCTGAGTGTAGCAACTAGAACAACAGAAAGATCCCCCCGTCCGACGAGCCCTAGCCGAAAGATCCCAACGTGCTAACCACAATCTCATATTGACGTTGTCTAGTTTGTGGTGTATGTCGCAGCAAACACCACCCTTATAACACCAGGTACATTACACAAAAGTGGCGCCCAACGTGGCGCACAACACAGAAAAAAAAACATTAATTTGGTGACCCAGTTATTGTCAGCAAGTAGAATCTTGTTGCGTTCTTTCCTTTCTGGAAAACTGCAATGGTTGGTGCTAGTCACAGTCCATTCTGTCCGAAACGGTAGGGGAACAACAGTTCTATGAGCATGTCAGGAACCACGAGGATCTCACACACGAGACAAACACACTTGAACCCGGCGATCGACACAGGAAGCCCAGGTCCAAGACAAGCAACAGAGTAAGCACGCCCAGAATTCGCAACGGAAGAATTGAGAACACGGACACCCTCAAAGCCGACCACCGGCATCGAACAAGGACAGCGGCAGTCACAATCTCACAGCCCAGCAACACGGGAAACAGCTGGAGCTTACCTTTTAATTCGTTTTAATATTTTGTTAAGAACTTCTTGATTAGGTCAATTTTTATACCCGTACTCAAAAAAGAGTTAAGGGGTATATTAGATTTGTGGTAGAAGTGGATGTGTGTAACGCAGAGAAGGAAACGTTTCCGACCCCATAAAGTATATATATTCTTGATCAGCATCAATAGCCGAGTCGATATAGCCATGTCTGTCTGTCCGTCTGTCTGTCCGTCTGTCTGTCTGTCTGTCCGTCTGTCTGTCCGTCTGTCTGTCTGTCCGTCTTGTTGAGCGCCTAGCTCTCAGAGACTATAAGAGCTATGGTAACCAAATTTGGTTTCCAGACTCATGTGATATCACACTGCTACAAGTGTATTTAAAAATTTCGCCCCGCCCCCTTCCGCCCACACAAAGGACGAAAATCTGTGGCAGGCACATTTTTAAAGATACGATAAAACTAAAAACGCAGTATCGTAGAGAATGACCATATCTACCAGACTGCCGAATCTGAATCAGATCAGATCATAATTATAGCCAGAATGAAGAAATTAATTTTCTGTTGCTTCCCCTCCCCCTCTCACCAACGACAACGCAACTCATTTTCCTTCTCGCTCGCACACTCTGCCGCGTTCAGTGCGCGAGCAACCCCTAGCGGAGGAGATGTAGAATCTGATTGGAACATGTACAATCTACATGTTAGATGTAGAATATACATTGTATATGTAGATGTAGATATCATATGTAGCAAAAAAATGTAAAATTAAAAATTTTTTTTTTTCTATGATTCTTAAAAATCATAAGCTCAAAAATGTATATACTGACTGAGTACGGGTATAAGTAGAGTCGCGTCCCCAGAAACGACTCACACGTTCCTTCTCGTTATTATTATTATCTGGTTTGACCATATTTATAGCTGGTTTAGGGGCTCTCGATCAACAACTCTACCCATTCTGCATTATTTCGCAAGCAGCGAAAACAACAGCACGAAATTATCGGTCACCCACTTCTTGGCGATATTTCGCAACCACTCGGCCTCGAAACATCGATCCAAATTCAGATATCACCTTCGCGATGCGGAAGTAGCAAAAACCCAATTCCCAACTGCAGCCCGCGCCTACTGCGATGCAGCCTAAGCTAAACACTCTCATCAAAACGCACTGACCCACTAAGCAATTGTCAACGAAGCACCAAGCTTCGACCCACTTACCACGCCCCACAATAATCACCCAATAATCATAAGCTAGCAATAAGCAATTATTTCCGGGTCTCAGATGCGATCGCCACCTGCATAAAAGGGCCAAGATCGGCCGAAAGAGCAGGCAGTCCATCAGCCCACACCCACACAAGAGCCAAGCCAAACACCACACTACGCAGTCCTCAGCCCAACCGACCACAGTCCAACGTAAACAATTAAGCGAATACACAAGAAAGGCCAAGAACCACAAAACTACCACAGCTACGCAGTTCCTCTACAAATTTTCTTGTAGCGGACATCAGCGCACCACATAATCAATCACAGACCAGCAAGTCTCAGAACGTAAACAATTAAGCGAATAAAGACAGTAAAGAAAAAACCAACAACCACAAAACTACCGCGTCGTAATTTTTCTCCTCTGGCCTACTGCATTTAAAGGCCAGCCCGAAACCTGAAGTTCCTCTACAAATTTTCTTGTAGCGGACCCTGGACAGACTGAAGCATATCCCAGCCTGAAATAGGAACCTTAGGAACCTTACATGGCTTATATGGATATGGGAATGTTTCCCATATAGCTTCAGCATGATATGAGTATGAAGCAAAGATATGATATGATTATTTCATATGATATTTCGTATGATATTGGGCAATCATACATTGATACAAGATACAAGTTTAAAGTGGTTATTATAAAATAACAGCATGATATGATGTGACGGCTCATATTTTCGTGCTTTATATTTCGACCAATTTATGTGCACAGCACTGTAGCTGCAGCTGTATGTGTGCGGTAGAAAGCTTTAGTCGGTCGAGTGAGCTTTATGCTTTAAATTAGATCGTATATGATCCAGACCGTGTGCTTTAGAAGCGTGGGTGGGAAAAGTAAAGGAAAAAACCGAAGCTTAGGCCTTAGATCATTCGATCGTGTGAGGGCGTAGCTGCGAGACAACAAGTGCATACGAATTTTGAAGAACACGTGCCTATTTTTTGTTGGTTAAATTCTGCAAAAAGAAAAACATTATAAAACAGCAGTGCATCGTTGCTAGCCGCACTAAAGCAGAAGATATAATCTGAGTGCAATAATACGTGCTAAAATTCTTATCGGAAATATTGATCCAAAAGTGATACCTAGTCCCATCAGGGACTTTTTTTCCTATTATGTAACACACATGACATGTGGACTAATAAAATTTTGTGTTTTCTGAAAGGGTCTTTGTTATATGCCAATTAAAGGCAAAGTTTGCTTCGGTTTGCGCCCATATACATCATTGATTGGAGATCTAGCTTCAGAGAAGTTTTCTAGAGGTGTTTTCCATCGACCTTTTTTATACCCGTACTCAAAAAAGAGTTAAGGGGTATATTAGATTTGTGGTAAAAGTGGATGTGTGTAACGCAGAGAAGGAAACGTTTCCGACCCCATAAAGTATATATATTCTTGATCAGCATCAATAGCCGAGTCGATATAGCCATGTCTGTCTGTCCGTCCGTCCGTCCGTCCGTCCATCCGTCTTGTTGAGCGCCTGGATCTCAGAGACTATAAGAGTTAGGGTAACCAAATTTGGTTTCCAGTTCCATTTCGATTCTACATCTCCTCCGCTAGGGGTTGCTCGCGCACTGAACGCGGCAGAGTGTGCGAGCGAGAAGGAAAATGAATTGTGTTGTCGTTTTCTGGATGGGGAAGGGGAAGCAACAGAAAATTAATTTCTTCATTCTGGCTATAATTATGATCTGATCTTATTCAGATTCGGCAGTCTGGTAGATATGGTCATTCTCTAAGATACTGCGTTTTTAGTTTTATCGTATCTTTAAAAATGTGCCTGCCACAGATTTTCGTCCTTTGTGTGGGCGGAAGGGGGCGGGGCGAAATTTTAAAATACACTTGTAGCAGTGTGATATCACATGAGTCCGGAAACCAAATTTGGTTGCCCTAGCTCATATAGTCTCTGAGATCTAGGCGCTCAACAAGACGGACAGACAGACAGACAGACGGACAGACAGACAGACAGACAGACGGACAGAATATATATACTTTATGGGGTCGCAAACGTTTCCTTCTCTGCGTTACACACATCCACTTTTACCACAAATCTAATATACCCCTTAACTCTTTTTTGAGTACGGGTATAAAAAAGGAAAATGCCAAGAACCAGACGTAAGCCGTCGAGAAAAATCAACGAAGTGGAAACAAGAATCGAAAAGGAGAATCTGCTGCTGCTGGATGAAAATTTGTCCGAGACGGAGCAAGATCGCAAAACCGGGTTGATCCCAGAAGAAAACAAGGTAGCAATGGCTGAGGGAAGCGTGGCAAACATCGACGCCAGGGTGCAACAAATGATGCAACTGTTAACCCTGAAAATAGAGGTAGATGAACGCAGAGATAACCAAGTGAAAATATCGGCGAGTAATTTCGAGAAAATTCTTAGCGACTTCGATGGATACTCTATCCCTCTGCAACAGTGGTTCGACATTTTCGAGAATAATGCGGAGGCTTACGAACTGTCGGATAAGCAAAAATGTGTTCAGGCCCGTGGCAAGATGTGTGGCGCGGCTAAGTTTTTTTTGGAATCCGAGTGCGTGTCTTATTTTGACGATCTGAAAGACAGATTAATAAGCGAATTCGAAACGAGTACAAATAGTGCGGATATTCACCAAATGTTGAGAAATCGTAAAATGCGGAAGTCGGAGACATTCCATGAGTATATGCTATAGAGGTGGAAAAACATCGATGAGACCATCGATGCATCGATGTTTTTGAAATTTGTATAAGCATCGATGTTTTTTGTCTAAACATAGATGTTTTGTTGTTATGTTTTTGCCGTCTCTATGAAAGAAAAACATAAAGAGAGAAGAAGATTAAGCGCAAAATGTATGTCGTTAATGGAGCTATTTGTTATTTATATTAAAACCCTCTTTTATATATAGCTTATAAATTGTCTTCGTTTGGATTGGAAGTAGCCTGTGCAGTGTGCAATTATTGAGCGATGGAAAAAAATCTTAAGAGTAAGTTATTCACGTTATTCAACAATAGAGTAAACGCACATGTGCTTTTTCACATGCACACACATACATACATATGTATGCATAAAATATTAATAAATATATTATTTCTATATCATAGGAACTTCAAAGGAAAACTGTGAGGCTGGACCTTTGAAAAGCAAACGTGAATACTCAATGATTGCGAATGATCGCAATTGACGTGCATCCGTTTAGTGTTGTCAATGATAGAGGATTTCGTGAGTTGTTAGCAGAAATGGACCCCCGCTACAAGTTACCAAGCAAAACCCATTTCCGTAACGTAGCGATTCCAAACGCATATGCAGATTTGAAAACAAAACTTAAATTTGCCTTGGATTGCGTGGAAAATGTGGCGATCACAGCCGACGGATGGACGTCCATGGCAAATGAGGGCTACTTAACCATAACTTGCCATTTTATAAATTCGGAATTCCAGCTAAATTCAGCCGTACTGTCCACAACGACTCTGATAAACCAAACTAACCACACGGCTGCCAATATCGCAGAATCGATTCGAGTGGTTTTAGTAGAGTGGGGTCTAGTGGAGAAAGTTGTTTGCATTGTGACAGACAATGACGCTTCGATGAAAAAGGCTTGTGAGCGTCTCGGAATTACACATTTCCCTTGTTTTGCCCATACACTTAACTTGCTGATTCAAGATGTGCTAAAAATAGACATTCTTGATCCAGTTTTGTCGAAATGTAAAGCTATTGTTACTTTTATGAAACGCAGCCCTATTGGAATGGCAAAATTTAAACAGGCACAGGATGTTGAAAATCCGATGGGTTTAAATTCAAGAAGTGGCTACTCGTTGGAACAGTGCGTTCGCCATGGTTAAAAGGCTCTTAGATACTAACGACACATTATCAACCGTCTTGCTTAGTTTGCCTAAGCGCCACTACCATTTTCCGTAGAGGAAATTGATATTATGAAGGAATTAGCTGAACTCCTTTCTCCGTTCCAAGAAGCAACTGTCGCAATTTCCGGCAGCAAGTATGTAACCATATCTCTGGTTATTCCACTTACTTGCGAAATACAGCAAAAGCTGAACAACTTAAAATCGAAACTAAAAACTGTAGAAGTTCTAAGTGCCTTAAAATTCTTATATACTCGTTTAAACACAAGGTTCCTTCACTACGAAACACGAACTGTTGCTCAAATAGCAACAATAATTGATCCACGCTTTAAAAAGGAGGGATTTTTAACGATTACGAATGCAGATCAAGCAGCTACTGCTTTGGAGAAGGAAATTGATAATTTCTTGTCGAAAACTCCACAGGAACTTCAAACACTATCCGAACCTTCACCGAATCCAACATTTTCTTTTCTGCAAAACAAAGTAAAGGTTAAAGTTAAATCAACTCGCGCGGATGCCATTATGACTTTAAGACAACATCTGGAAAACCTTAACGAGCCCAAGGAAACTGATCCTCTCTTATATTGGAAGGTAATACTAATATTTCAATTGAAATACTTTTAAATTCCTAGTTACATTTTTAGTGGATGAATACAGGCGGCATGATGCCATTTAAAGCTGCAGCCCGAAAATATTTTTGCGTCCCGGCAACATCCTGCGAGTCAGAGAGGATGTTCAGCAAGGCTGGACAAATTATTTCCGAACGTCGTAGTCGCCTTAAGCCGGAAGTGGTGGACCAGTTATTATTTCTAAACAAGAATCAGGACTTGTTTTAAAATCTGGGAAAATTACCTTTTTTTTTGTATATTGTTCTGAATGGATTTTGATCTCAAATGAAATAAAACTGTTATTTTTTATAATTTTAATCATATGCTTTGCAGTATTGTATGTATTTTAAAAAATTTTTTTTGTTATCTTGCAAAACATCGATGTTTCATCGATGTTTTTCACTAAAACATCGAAAACATCGATGTCTCCAAACATCGATGTTTTTCCACCTCTAATATGCTAAGCATGTAAAAGTTGGCAAACGTCGGCAGTGTTGAAGAGGAAGCAGTATTGCGCTATATCATAGACGGGTTGCAAATAAAAAACGAGAAGGAACGTGCGAGTCGCTTCTGGGGACGCGACTCTACTTATACCCGTACTCAGTCAGTATATACATTTTTGAGCATATGATTTTTTAGAATTTTAGAATTACAAAAAAAAAATTTTAAATATTATATTTTTTTGCTACATCTGTTATCTACATCTACATATATTATGTATATTATACATCTAACATGTAGATTAAACATGTACCATTCATATTCTACATCTCCTCCGCTAGGGGTTGCTCGCGCACTGAACGCGGCAGAGTGAGCGAGCGAGAAGGAAAATGAGTATCGTATCTCTGGCAGGGGGAGGCAGAGGAAGCAACAGAAAATTTCTTCATTCTGGCTATAATTATGATCCGATCTGATTAAGATTCGGCGGTCTGATAGATATGGCTATTCTCTACGCTACGGCGCTTTTAGTTTTATCGTATCTTTAAAAGTGTGCCTGCCACAGATTTTCGTCCTTTGTGGCGGTGGAAGGGGGCGGGGCGAAATTTTGAAATACACTTGTAGCAGTGTGATATCACATGAGTCTGGAAACCAAATTTGGTTAGCCTAACTCTTATAGTCTCTGAGATCCAGGCGCTCAACAAGACGGACGGACGGACAGACAGACATGGCTATATCGACTCGGCTATTGATGCTGATCAAGAATATATATACTTTATGGGGTCGGAAACGTTTCCTTCTCTGCGTTACACATATCCACTTTTACCACAAATCTAATATACCCCTTAACTCTTTTTTGAGTACGGGTATAAAAATGACACCATACAAAAAATAATAAAGTACTACAACAATTTTTAAATCCCGAAATGTATCAGAAACAGTCATTTTGGTTGACAGCCTAAATCAAAAGTTCAATTTTGTCGAGTAGTGTAATCTTCATGTTATATGTGTCGGGGGCAGAAAATCTGGGTGCTCTTCCTCCTGCATTGTGGCACTTGAGCGCAGTGAGTCGCGGCTATGTGTTCTCTCCTTTTGTTATAATATTGAAATTATGTTTATTTAGTCAATATAAATAAGTGGAAACAATGTTATTTTAATTACATATCGATACTATATATATTCTCGATAGTTAAGTGTATTCACAAAGAAGAAGGCAGACGCCAAGAATATATAGAGAGCCTGATGGAAGTTTATGTTACTAAAACAAATGTGTCTTAATTATTACATGGTGTCAGAAGTTACCTATTTCAAATCGTCGAAATGTATTCGAATGAGCGAGCGTTGCCAGAACTCGACTGTGCAGATATGTCAAATGAATGGCCAAAGTGGAAGAGTACATTTCTTATGTACCTAATCGCAAATGGCAAAGATGTGGAAAATGAGCCAAAAAGAAAACTGCAACATTCATATGGCTTTCTGGATCAGAAGCAACAGAAATTTACAACACTTTATTTCCAAATAATGGATCTGCAAACGATATGATTGGATCAAATGTGCCGCAAGTGTCGTCAAATGCCACGACAGGAGAAAACGTGGAAGCAACATCTTCATCAAATACACAGATCGTTCGTACACTGAAGGTGGTACTAGCGTAATGGATAACGATTTGTAGGATAGATGTTTTACCCAGAGATTGACCAGCACGCTATTATTCCGGCTACTGTCTCGTCGGCAAAAGGATGGTATTCTTTTCTTGACAATTCTGAGACCTACGCGTATATATATATAATTTAAGAGCGTGAGAAAACATTTAAAGCCATAAACATAGACCTTTACAGAACCGGAGAGAAAACAAAACTGATGCCCGATAGACTCTATTTATACCCACACGTAACACAAACGAACGTACTCTTCCTCAGATGGTATGGAGGAACACGCCCACCCTTCCTAGGTCATATTTTTCCAGTGCTATCAAATCACTATGACCCCTTTATCAAGGCAGAAAACTACAGGGGCTGGGTATCGGAGATCATAAGATATTTTTTTTTATCTAAACATTATAAAATTGATTTATTAAAAGTAAAATTTAGATTTAAATACTAAAATATTAGCTCTAAACATTTATAACTACAATAATTCCCCCAGAAATATTCTGTCTATTCAAACGTTTCATTTAATTCCCCTTCTTCGAAATTCTCTTTGTTTCCCCGCCATGCTGTACAACAGCTGATCGCTCTCTTCGAAAACCAAGCTCTGGGCTCGTTCCCTTATATGGTCATTGACCTATGTAAACTTATGCTTCTACTAAAATTTGGTATAAATGAAATAGATTCACATCGGTGAAACCGATTAGAAAAATTATAGGCCCTATTTAAATCTTTCTCACTCTGTTGCGGTCCATCGGCGAAAGCGCTTTCACGATGCCTGCTGTTGGTTTGGAAGGTTAGCGATTTGTTAAATGGTTTTCACTGAATTCACTATTTCATTTTTTTTTCCCCCCCCACCAAAAAAAATTCAAACTAAAGAGAATAACGCACTTAAACTTTAACTATTAACTAATTCTCTAAGTTATATCGTTCGAGGTTCTCCCTCCCTTCTATTTCCTTCTCCTCTTTACACGCACGTCGTATGCCGAAAATTCGAACTGCTTTTACCTCTCTCTCTCACTTTAAGCGCTCTGTGTGGCACCGTGGGACAAACTCATGTTTTTTTTTATAAATTTTCATTTTTTTTTCTCTGTATAAATTTTGTTTTCTTTTATGGTTGCCACTAATTAATTATTTTGATCCACCATCTGAAGGCATGAGAGGAGATAACCTGCACTAGGGAGTTCTCCTCTACCACAGGCCATGTTGCCTTGATTTATTTCTTTTTTTAGGTTATTTTCTTTTCCTCTTTTTTCACTCTAAATGGGTTTCTACTTCCACACCTTTCACGCATCACTCACTTTTCCTTTAATTATTCTGGTGGATTACTAAATTGTTAACGTTATTTTCCCCTCAGAAACCTCGAAATGGGCTTAGCCTATACCGCGCGCTGCTGCTCCACGCTGGAGTCAGTCCCGCTCTTTGGAGCGCCTCTGCCTAGCTCGACTTTTCGAACTCGCTCTCGCTAGCGCCGGCCGTTCCCCTGCGATTAGTTTCCCCGCAGCTTTACATTCCCCTGTTGATTAATGCCCGGATGATCGTTTGAGGCTTGCCGCTGCTTTTGCTTGCGTTAAAACTGAAAATTGGGTGCCAAACCTAAACGGGAATAAACAATATTCTCTTTAATTCGACTGCTGCCACCCCTCCAGAAATTTTTTCCTTGGATTTCCTTCCACTTACCAGTGGATCTGGCACCAAAGAAAATAATTGAAATTTCTTTCGGTCGACTGCTTCGTCTATCCCGCGATATCACTGATTTAGCACTGGTCTTCACTGGTCAGTGTCCACCAAAGAAAAGAAAGATCGCCATTCTGCATCGACTCTCGGAACCTACTTTTCCTTTTCGACCCTGCAACTGTCAACTTTCGTTCTCCTTTCCCCAAATGTACACCTTGACCAGTAGGTGGCGTTGCCTTACCCCTTCCGCGCTGTTAAGGCGCACAGTTTTAGAGCCACTGGGTACTTTAAATCAAATTAAAACAAAAAACCCCCCAACAGCTACGGGCACCTTACAAATCCCCCCTGCCAAAATCAGACTTTGGGTAATATGCTAGATCCGTCCATTGACTGAAACCACAAGGCTGATTAAACCCGTAGCTTTGACGCCACTACTGCCGCATGTCTTTCGCATGATACTTGCCAATGCATTTTCCCTGCAGATCTTTCAGTTCATAGATCGAGTTTCCTATTTTACTTCTAACTCTCGCCTTTACAAATACATTGCCAA